TTGCTATTGCTGTTGCTGTTGCTGTTGCTGTTGCTGTTGCTGTTGCTGTTGCTGTTGTTGTTGTTGTTGTTGTTGCTGGCCTTTGTAGGAGTTACGACGGGCCTCGATGTTTGAGGCTACCGTGCGCAACCTCTGTCTGCGCACATTGAGAGCATTGAGAGCTAAAACATGTCACTGTTTCCACAGATTCAACCAAGCCTACATGTCCCGCATTCGCCGTATTTATTCCCGAAAGGCCTACCATGTGCCTGAAACCTGAAATTTGTCTCTTGCTACAGTAATTAAATCAACGCAGGCTAAAGTTCCGCCAGTGGTTCCGGCCAGTGGCGCCAATGATAGCAGAGGAGGCTTTGGAGGAAGTCTTTGGGCGCTCAGCTGCTGGGACGACTTTCTCCCTGGCGGTTCGTAGGGAACAGGAATGAGTTGCAGGGAGTCTCATACGGGACCACTGTTGGCTTCAGCCCTTCATTTCTTGTTCTAAGTTTTTTGGAGAAATATAGGCATGTAGATTTTCTTATGGCCTTCACCTCTCAATTCTGGTATCTTTGCATTTGTAGATTGAAGATGTTCATGCAAGTATGTGCGCCTGTATGTATGTATATGTATGTATATGTATATACGTGTTACTTGGAAGGCAACAGCCAAGGAATTACGAGATCACGGCACATTCAGGCGCGTTTACTTGCCAAACATATTAGGTTCTCAAGGGTACCCACAGGTCGGGCCAAGACCATCTGGGCCAAGACCTTGTAGCATGTCATTGCCTCGCAATTAGGGCTCCCACAGTGCATGGGTGGGCTCACAGAACAGCTTGCATCGAAACCATTAAAAAAAGGGCTAGACATGCAGAAGAAATCTTCGCAATGCCTGTCCGTGCCTGTCCCTAAGTTACAGTCCAGAGCCCGGAAACCTGCAAACATTCAGCCCTTTCAGCGGCATGCCGCCTGAGGTCAAGTCGCCATACATGACCATGGCTCCAAAGGTCCGCCCGGAGGCAACAATCCCTTCACCGCAGCAACGAAGAAAGCCCTCCCCCTCGAAACTGTTGGGCCAGCAATGGTTAGGTCTTGTCATTGTTTGGCAGAGATGATCGTGATCAGGGTCTCAGCTCCAGGCTTTCGAAACGAATGGAACAGATGCAAGACAATGCAAGGGAGCAAGCGTATAGCAGTCCTTGGTGTCAGGATTTCTGTGAATCTGCATGTCTGAGGAGGTCCCGCTGGCAGAGGGTTCTCAGATCGCATGGAACAGCATCGGCAAGAAACAGAGCCCTGAAAGAAGTCTTTTTTTTGCTGCCCTTGCTGTCAGGTGTTGGCGAAATTTCCAGCACTGTCGCATTTGGATGGAACAGCGCGCCACCAATCCGCGTCTGGGATTGCTGAGAGTTTCTGATGAACACACGGGGAAGACAACTACAGTCTGTTTGGGTTTGCCGTTTGGGTTCGGGACCGATGGTTCGGGGCAAGCTTGGCGTCCTGAATATATTTGAATTTTTGAGCTGTAGAGTCGACTGGGAGCTCCGTTGTGAGGCAGCTTTCACGTGCAGCCTGTAGGCACGCGAGCCTTTTGGCAAAACCTTGCCATTTGCAGTTTCCTGGTTCGATTGAACTTGCGCGGGAGTCAAGGGGCATGCGTTCAGTGTGCAGTTCTTGGTTCAAGGTCAGCCGAGAGGATGAGCCCTGGGTCCACGCCTTGCTGCTAGCTGTCGGCCGATGGACTGGCCTCGCAGCTCCCTGGATTTCAAAAAAGAGGTGCAGATGGGGCGCCTCACTATCTATCACAAGATGGCGCAGGAATGCCTTAGGACTTTGAAAGCCCCTCCAGTGTGTGAGAACCCAGGCTCTCATCAATACGAGCTTCAACTCCAGAGGTAAGCCCATTGTGAACCGCGCAGAGGACACCTGTGACGGCACACGCACGTCATCAAGCTGCTTATGCATTGTGGCCTTGCTGCCATGATCATGACTGTGGTCGCATTTGTGGCTTGCACAGCTGCTGCTGCCACCATTTCCACACACAATTTAAACGATTGTTCCGATTTCACTTTCCGCAACTTCAGAGTATGGGTCACACAAGCCCTCTACTATGATGCCAACTCTGCAAATTGTGACACGAATCAGAAGCCCTGATACTGGGCAGGGAACGGGACTGTTCAATGCTGGGGGCGGCTGGGCATGAGTGGGAGTTGCTTAAGTAGGACCTTCATCATTTTTGACTCGACCGTGGGGTGAAAAAATGAAGATTTTCCCCAACCTAGCCCTGGGTGTTAGAGGGAACCCTATGGTCAAGTTCCCCATCGCAGGATTGCCTCATGATGCTAGAGGAGATGCCCGCCACCTGGATTATGATTAATCTGTTCGCTCCTTTTCTATGCTTGTTCTAATATGAGTATACGACGTATACGACAATATGGGTTGGCCAAAGTCCGAGCTTTCGGAGAATCACCCGCAGATGAGTTCGAGTTGTCTTGGGGGTCTCAGGGACAACTGCGGGCAAGAATATCTTTTCCCAAACAACGAAACCGAAGTCAACTGTTGGCGGTGCGGTGTGGGGGTATGGCATGGTGCCTCCCGTGCGCGCTGCACCCGCCACCACCTCAAGTCTTGAAGTGCCTACTCACTTTACCTTGCGTCGAAAACATGCGAGAACATGTCTGCAAAAGGACGGGGGGCCCGAAGGTGCCCTCCCGACAGAAGGACACCCGCAGTCTTTGCCAAGTGACTTGTGTTTGAGACCTTTCAGTCACAAGCAGTGTGTTACAAGGAGCACGTCATCAGGTGTCAGGTCCTGCCTTGCTTTGGTTACTTGGGCCGATTCAGACAGCGGTAGTTGCTTGGAGTACGTCTCAGGTCCGGCGTCCTAGCTTGCGAGAAAGCTGCAAGATGTCACACTAGCTTGCGTTTACCATGCTCGCATATTTCTGCCCACCATGGCTCGGAGCTCAGGATCTCGACTATGTTCTCATCCACAATTGGTTGTTTCGCGCGCCTGCCGCGAAAGTCCGGCAGACTGCAAGTTCATGAACAAAAACTGCAAGACCGAGTCAGCGATCAGAGAGCCAATTTGGTTTGCTTGAAGCTGCAATTTGTTGCCCTTTCACCTGGGCATTCGGTTCTGCAAGGATTTCTGGAAACCCTTCAGCAACTGCAGACTCATTTGGGAAGCTTGATTATTGAGACATGTTCGGGCAAGAAATGCTTCTTTTTCTTGCGCAGGTATCCACTGGAAATCCGATAGATGAGCCGACTTCACGGGAAGTGCGAGACGGTTTTGGGGCAGATACTACATGAATCAGGAACCGGCACAATGCTGATAGCTCAGGTCGATGTAGAAAGCCTTATGCTGATGGCATACTGCGGCTCAAGACAAGCCATGTGTGCTCTGTTTAGTATGCCGAAGGATGTATGGAGAATTGCAGAGCAGAGTTTCCCACCAAGCTGGCAAACCCAACCTAGAAAAAATACTCTTTAGGCGAGCAACAAAGCACCACATAGAAAAGCCACAGCTTAGCTGCATTGATCGACAACAGCTGTAGATAGTTGCGCTGGCCAAGCCATGGCAATTCGTATCATTGCTCACGTTCCCTTCTCAGCTGCTCTTTGCTTACATGCTAGGCCAGATTTTGGCCATCCAGTTGGTTACCCGGTTTGCAAGCGGATAGATGCCACAGAAAAGGCGGCAGCAGCACGCGACTCCGTGGTCTCGAATTTCTTCAACTTCCTCCACTCAGGAAGGTACTCGCCAAGCCTGCTTCAGCCTTTGTGGTATGCGGGAAAGACCTTCAGCGCTGTTATTTCTTGTGCCGCACAGTGATTTGATTTCTACCAAAGCTACTTGCAACTATGCATGATTCTCGCTATTGGCTGAACAGACAGCTGCAGAGTTACAACTTAGGTGGTTTCAAATACTGAGACTTTGGCGAAGAATCTAGACTCTTAAATTGCCCGGATCCTTGCGGCAGCGCAGGTCAGGCTATGTTCTGTTGTGCTCCTTGGCCGCTACAGTGTCCAAGCTTGAGGTATCCTAAACCCGCCAGTCTAGACTCCGAAAAGTTGGAACAAAATGTGCTACAGTTTCTTATTAGGCTTCATGGGGGTACGACTAATTACTTATAGTCATCAGCTGCTTGACTTAGGGAAGGGTAGATCTTCAACATGCCTGCCAGCGACTGAGGTGGCTTCGCATTGCTGGTCCTTGCTGGAGTTGAGCCTCAGAATTCTGCGGCTGAAGGTTTCAGGCTTTACAGGGTTCCTTTGCAATCCTTTCGGCATCGTTCGGCCATCATCTCCAAACTAAACTGTGCTTCCTTTCTGAGGTTCTTGATCTGGCAATGTGAGTAGAGTTACGCGGGTATGTCTGGGCACTCCAAAACAGCATATGACCCCTCTTACAGGCACCTGCAAAAGAGGCCCACCGTTGGAAACAGGCCCTGCGCATCAATCTTGGCAGGTCAGCAGGTGCAACGAATGAGTTTGAACGTCTGCCTGTGATGTACCGATGATTCTCTCCTGAATCCTGGCGGATTCGCACTGCCACATGTTGCCTTAGAGCCTCATTTCCTGGAAAAGTCCTGCGTTGCTTCTGGGCAAGCTACGTCACCGCTGCATCCTTGAACCCTTAGCCAAACAGCTACGTAAGCAACCGGCACAGGTCATAGGACATCCCCAGGTTGGGGAGGAAATAGTACATGTACTCAGTGGATCCCTATATAATCCCTGTACATCCCCATAACATGGGGGCCCAATAATGGAGAACGAAATGGAAACTGGGATTATGGGGTAGCTTGACTTGCACTAGCCATGGGCATTCATAATGCGCATTCTTGCACAGCTCCGTGAAGCTCCCAAATCTGAACCCAGCTCCAACTGCGTAGATACCAAGCTTTCGAATCATGAGCCCTTATTGCAGCTTGTAGGTTCATTTTTTGACGGGAGTCCTAATGATCAGCTTCATAAAAGTTTCAAGGGCGTGTAGTGGGAGCTCCGTTGTGAGATGCTCAGAGTGGAGGTCATGATGGTAGCCACTTTCGACAGTCGAGAAGCACGAGCAGCCCCGCCTGGTTGGGTGCGGGGCTAAGAGGTTTTTTGAGACGTGGCAGGAGGCAGGGAGGAAGATAAAAATGTAAACTAGTTAGGGTTTCCAGGTTGGGCTCATCCTCTAATCCTCTAGGCGTCAACGGATGACAGACGCAAAAGAAGAACAGCAGACCTCTCACACGGATTAGGCCCTACTGACCCAGCTCTATAGGGCCCCAGGCCGGTTGCAAGTTTGGAAACCTAGCAAGACGAAGAAGCATTGTTTTCCTCCGCCACCGAGCGTTCCTGTGCTGAAAAAGCCTGAGGAAAGCCAAGGCAAGTTTGAAAACCGCTGGCTCAATGAGTATGTAGCCTCCACTTTCCTGACATCCTGTGACCGCCTGCATGAGCTGCGTGGAGTAGAAGCGTGTGACATTGCGGCGGCACCCGCGAGCACAAGGCGGACTAATCGCAGCAATGCAGTGACTCCTACCCAATGTGAAGCTTTTCACAGGATTGCCCATCGTAACATCACGTGTCTTAGCCATTCTTAGTCTGTAGAACCCGACGTCTGCTTGGAGCCTTTGGTTTCAGGAGCGCTTCGTGGCTGCCACGAGCTCCAACCAGTCCGGTGCTTGTTTGTCTAGATCTACTCATCTACTCTACATGTAGCTTTGCATGTCAAATCTTGCTTGCATCGCTAGAAACCATACAGATCCAACCCCTGACCATGAGACATGCACTTGAGCCAATGTTGTTTGTTTGATGCCTGTACCAAAGTTGGCACTGTCTTCCTGGAGTGGCACGGAATCTGGCTATATTATGTTCGCATAAGATATTATTGTGGCAAGTTTAGTAGTATTAGCATTTCTAGTGCTATCATTCTTACTTTCATTCTTATTACTATGGTTCTTATTATGATGTTTCAGGTGGGTCTCATGTGCCTTCCTCCTCTCTGCTGCGTCCATCGTGCTGAGCCAAATTCTCAGTTAGGCCTTGTGAACCCATCTTGCGGGGAGAGTGGGCCATACACACAACTTCACAGGTTGACGAGGACAACAGATGTGCGTTGACAAGACTTGAGAAATTTGCATGCCGAGAGAAGGATGTGGCTGGTAGTAGGCTGGAGACATCTGAGCGCCTGGCAGCGCCTAGCGAGGTTCTGTACAGTGTAGGGCTGTGTCTGGAAGCAGCCAGTTGCTCCCAGGCATCAACTACTTGCCGCGGTTGGAGGGCGAAGGATGACAAGGCGAGTTGCTATATGAGACAGCGAAACTGTGCAGGTGAGGCCAGGCTGAGAGAGAGAGCTCTGTGAGGCTTTGGGTCGGGTAGGACTGGGTAGAAGCTTTGGCTGTTGCAGCTCCACGTTGCAAGCGCTGGCCTGGGCACAGTGTAACCGATTCGACCAGACATCTCAGCGACTGAGTTGAGACCGCGTGCCCTCTTCTGTAGCACCTTTGTGCTCAGACTTCTTAAAGGGGCGGCAGCAGCGGGGACAGAGCAGGCATGGGGGTTTGTCTCAGGCTTGCTCCAGGCACCTGTGTAGAGCTTGTGCAAGTAATCAAATCCGCGTTGCAAGGATTTGTCAACTTGTTTGCCCGGTGCTGCTGCCCCACGTTCGTACAGTCAAATTTGGCTGGATCTCCTGTTCCCCAGGGCCTAGAAGGACTGAGACGTTGCCAGCGCAGAACCATGTAGAGGTCTTCATGATGAGCAACTAGGAGGACATTGCCCGGCCGATAATTGAAGAGCCTTGGGAAACATGGGAGCCTGCACATCTCGAGCGGCGCATGAGGCCGGCAATGCCAGCGCGTGGCCCCATAGGCAGTGTTATCCTATGTGGGTTGCTTTGCATGACAGCCGGGGAAGGCATTTCCGGATCCTGTTTTGGGATTTGGGCTCTCGGGGGGAAGGCAGAATGCTTCTAACTGCATGTCTCAAATTGAGGGGCACTGTGTAGGGGTCCTTGTAGCAAGGAGTTGTTTGTGTGGACTGTCAGGCGTGAAGCGGCTCCGGTGTTAAGAAATAATCCTTTGGATGCTTACATCTGGCATTTTAGCCTTGCCTTCAGCAATGTCCCAGGGGCCCAGGGGCTTAACACATTTTAGCATGAAGCTCACGCCTACAAGGCAGTGTAACTGCGATGTTTCATGTCCTTGTCCTGGTTCATGCCACCAAGGTTCTTCGAGTCTCGGATTTGCTCGAGTTACACGGCCCGCCTCCCGCACATGAGGATTTGCAACGAGCAAACCTGTTAGTGAAGTGGAGTCCCGAGCTGTTCACGGTTTTTGTTTCACATCAGTGGCTGAGCAAGGGCCATCCTGACCCGGAGGGCTTACAGCTTCAAGTTCTGCAGAAGGCATTGCGGAACGTGATTGATGGCACCATCTCAGTGGAATCGGATGTTGTGTCACAGTTGCGGCAACAGTTCAGGTCGCTGTCTGGAAAGGAGAGGCGGCAATTGGCCAGTGCCTACATTTGGTTGGACTGGTTTTCAATTGCACAGGAGCCAAGTCCAGACACCGAGCTTGGCATTCGATCGATTCCTTTTTACGTGGGGGCCTGCCAGCTCTTCGTTGCGTTGGTTCCTCCCTTCCCACATCTCGTCACACAACAAGATTGCGATTTTGCCAGCTGGCTATCACGAGGGTGGCGAGCTCAGAGTGTAGTCACCTACAGTTGTGCCTGCCCATTGCTTAAGTACATGGCGCCAGCATTTGCATGCGGTAGTGGCTGGACACCAACTGCCCTAATGCAAGCTAAATACGGAAGCATGACTTCATGTCAGCGTTCAGGTGGTGCCGAGCAGAGATGTGGTGTCAGCTGCTTTCTGATAGGCAGCTGGGCTGGGAGCCTTGTAGTGTCGGCGAACAGGATCTGCCTTCTGAGAAAGTTTTTAACCGTCGGCATCTTGAGAACACCTACAGTAGTTTCCCTTTTATTTCCATTATCCCCAATACATCCCCAATATAACCTCTAATGTTACCCCAATGGGTACGTATAAATTGTAATGCTTGCTGATCGCTTTGGCGGCCTTTGAGCCCCTTCAACTTGCCACAGGTCGGCAGATTCGAACGTGCCGATGATTGTCATCTCCAGTGCAGACCAAATTGAATTCGCGCTTCCGCTGCAGTGGGTGCAAAACCCAGTACACGAAGGCTGCGCCTGCTGACTGCTACTGCCAGTCTGTGTTAACCAGATTTCTGCGGCTAGCTCATGAGAGTGTGCTTGCTTCTCAGGATAAGGATCCAACTTCTACCTTGCTCAAAGGATATCGTTCTTGTTTTCATAGGGGTTCATGATGTTCAGAAACCTCCAGAGAGTGGCAGGCGAATTCACCTGCGATGCTGACCGCCTCAGAGTAGCTACCTTTGTGCAAGCAGCGCTTGACAACAAGCTGCGCCGTTTGGAAGCTGCTGGGAACATGGATCTTTTCAGGCACCTCGTCTTTCCAGCCCGTGTGTTGAACGCCATCCGTGGTTTGGTTTTACCTCTAAGGGAATGCTTCAATTTGATAGCCTGCTCTAAATTGTCGCAGTACATGCTTCAAGCTGCATGTGCGCAGAGTTGTAGGACGGTTTGCCTACATTAAAAACACCATCGGATACCATGATCAGACTATAACATGTGCCGTATATACAAGACATGCAGTTTACATATTACTGCATTACACTGTATAGAAGCTGTGAAAACGCGGCGCCGTTCCTTTAGCTGTTCATTACTTTTATTGACACACTGCAGGCAGCGGTTTGCAGCTTTTGGGGGTCTGGGACCACCAAAAGGCTGTACGGTGCTAACAAATCCAATGAAGTTCTGAAAAGACGCTTGCTGCGTCAATTAGTTTCGAGGAGTCTCGAGAAGATCCCGCGCCAAAGACCTTGCAAACGTTGCTTTCATTGACTGCAGTGCCTATAAAACCAAGAAAGCTGCGCAAACACATTGTCAGATCTTGCGCACGTGTGTGCTTTATGGATGTTCGAAAGCGAGTTTCAAATGACGTGGCCATTTTGGCTGCAAGAATGCCCTCATAAAATGAGGAGCTTCCATTATTTTCCATAGGGGAATGAACCGAGATGACCTCAGGCTCCTGATCCAAGAGGTCGTTGACGAAGCCTTGGAGAGGGGACGGGGTCACGGGAGGCGCTCAGACAGCCGCGATCAATGTCGCAGAAGCCGGCCAGCCCATCACTTGATGAGAAGCTTGCGCGACAGACGATCAGACAGTAGGGATGGCTACCAAAGGACCCGAGGTCGACAAACTCGATCAACACAATCACGTAGCTTGGACCGTCATGGGGAGCAGCGACGGGACGCCAACCATAGGCGGGAACGATCCCCGCTCCTGCGCCAGCACCGTCGACCCCTCTCCAACAGTTCACCTGAGCCGGGCAGCGTCTCGGGAGGAAGGGCACCCTGGGTGACCTGTGATGAAGTAGCAGACCTTTTGGAAAGTGGAGTGAACTCTTCTGAAGTGGTCCGGCGGATTAGGCGCCGAGACTTGGGATCACCTCCTCGGCAGCCTCCACACGAAAACCCGGGAGGCTCAGTTCGCTTTCGAAGAGCTGCTGTGCCAGTGCCGCGCCAAGCTTCTTCAATTCGTTCTAATCAGGCAGCTCACCATCCCAGCGGAGAAGAAAGGAAGTCGCTGACACACCCTGAGTTGGCTGGAGTTTCTTCCAGCATTCCGGGGTGGGTAAAGGCCTCTTCCGTGGCGAGTGGTTGGCCAACAGCCGAGTTTAGTTCAGCACCCTTCCGAAAACGTGCCCTTCCGCCGGATGAGTCGTTGGTACAACCCGAGCCTGCCGGGTCTCCACGCCGCCAAGGATGTGATGATGGCACGCGTTTGCCAGACATTTCAGGCGATTCCGTGCCAATTTTCGGGAAGCAGGCCCGTGCTCCGGACGCACCTTCTGGTGGAGCGGATGACCCGGAACCAGTGTTCAAAAAGAAGGCGACCCCCCCCACCAGTTCCGGATCCCCCTTGTGAGACCACAGGCGACGGGCTTGGTCCCACCCGACCAAAAGTTGGGAGATACCACAAACAGGATCCCGCCCCTGCTAGTCTCGCTGCTCGCGAAGAGGCAGGTATTCAAGAGTTTGTGTCCCGCGCAATGCGGATTTATACAACTCTGAAAGGTGGCGGAGTAAATATGGATATCATTCACATCGTGGAAGCTCAGGGTGCTGTAGATGAAGCGCGCTTCCAGACACACACCGCGCCAAACAGGGCCTCCACTGGGCTGCGGTACGTCCGGCTCATGGAGAAATTCCTGGATTGGTGGGACTCTTTACTTGCGCAGGATCGCGAAGCCAGTCTTGCCGGAGAGGGTGACCTGGGACGTCCTCCATTGTCCAGGCTCACAATCCTCCGGTATGTTGAGACCATCATTGATGAAGGGGTGGGTAAATACACCCCCCGAGTCCTTGTGCATAGCCTGGAGTACTTCAGCGGAGTCTTAGGTTTCCCGCTGGAGTGGACCAGGTGGAGTCGCATTAAGAGGTTGACAGACCGCTATGCCAAGCGTGCGGGCAAAGGTTCACAAGCTCCAGCCTTTCCCAGACCCTTTCTGGAGTTCTTGGAGCGTACGACGCTGGATCTTGCCGTGCCGAAGCCACTGAGGTTGCTCAGCGGCAGGCTTCGACTCTGCGCGCAAGCCAGCATCAGGTATGATGACCTGTTGCGCACAGCCCTGCGCTCGTGCGAGTGGATACGGGACCGGGGCACGGTAAACATTCGAGGGCTCAGGTCAAAAGCAGCCCAGACCAAGACGGGCCCTCGAGTTTGGGTTGCCAGCTATCTCGCTGCCAACCCAGCGCACGACAAATGGTTGGTTGCCACCATGCAGCTGGTGACTGAAGCCCATGGCCAAAGCTGGATGGAACATGACCACTTTGGACGTGCTTGCTCGCCGGACGGAAAGGAGTTTCTGAACCACCCTCCAAAGTTGCCGGATGACGTGACCTGTCTTCGGGAGTTCCTCGTTTCCCAGATAAAGTCAGGAGTGGACGTTGGCCTGTCGCTGGAGGAGGCGAGCGCATTTCGCTTTCACTCGCCTAAGCCCACCTTAACATCCCTCATGCAACACAGCAATGTGGAGCCAAAGGTGGTCCGTTTCGCTGGAGCTTGGAAAGATCGGCACGAGACGATGCCAGATACGTACCTCAGAGAGGCACAGAGTCTGGTTTTGTCCGCCCAGGAGAGATGCCTGGAGATTTTGAGGAACGGTGGAGACCTGAACAGACTGGAGTCTGCAGGAGTCCCGCCGGGCCAACTTCCCAAGCCACACGAGCTCGGAGCATCTAGCAACGCCATGGCCCGTGACACGGCGTCCGCTCGGCATGAACTACTGCCGACGGACGTCCCGGTTGAGTTCCTGGATGCCATGATGGCCAACAATCGCATCCCGGAGACGGATGAGCTGGCTGTGGAGGCCACAAACGACAAGCCGGAGGTGCTTGAGCTGGTATCTCCAGCAACTCCTGCAGCGCCTTCTGAGTCGGTCATCGCTGTCGAGTCGGATGACTCGGACAGCGAGGATGATTTGGTGGAGTTCTTCGTGCAACTCGCTGATGGTAAAAGCGGCAAGGTTCATCTTCCAAAGCATGATCTCACCCCGTCTGCGGAGAAGGTGGTTCCACGATGTTCCTCTACAGGAGCGGAGTACCGCAAGCTGATTGCCGAGACTGAAGTCGCAGGCGAGGTGAAGTGCTTCAAGTGCTTTCGACAGCTGGGGGCCGATAACTGCGCAAGCATCTGTGGTCACACGGAGCAGCGTGCAGGTCAACTAATGAGATGCGTGAGGCCATGCGCCATGGGTCGGCATGGCAATCTGGCAAGGCACCGCTGCCTGAAGCATGCAACCCTGGATGATCTAGAAGCCGTGGAGCAGGGCGCCTGAGTCAAGGTTTGGAGTGTGCAGTGTAGAGCCCCGTCCCTGAACACAGGGGAACGCACGGGTTGACAGTCTATCTGTTTGCGCCTGCGCGCAGAAAATGATACTTGTAGCGAGGTAGCGGGCTCAGAGCAGAAATTCGCTTGACACGGCTTGATTTAAGAGCAGCGAGCGTCCGCGCGAAGTGATTGGTTGCGTGAGTGCAGCAGAGCAAGTGGGACAAGCCTGTTGGGCTTGTAGTGTCGACGCGCGGCTGTGCGCGCGGTCGGCTCAAGAAACCCTTGCCTGCAGAAGAAGGGCTCTGGCCGACACCCTGTACTTGGCTAGTTCCCCGCCCTCCAAAACCTCAGTCAAGGTCGAGAGGCAACGCCATGGCAATGCACAAAGCAGCTCAAAGCGAGCGTTCATGGGAGCCGCAGTAAGGTTTGATGTTCACGAAAGCGACTACTTGTTGCTGGTGAACCGGGGTGCTGAAACCCATGAAGCATTTGCCTATAAATTCCCGAAAGGGACCGACCTGGAGGATTTCCTAAAAGACACCTGTAGCAGAAAAGCTGCCTACAAAGATTCTGAGGGGCTGATTGCGGAGTACGACAAGTCCCCGCCAGTCTCATGGAACGTCTTCAGGTCCTCCGATGATGCCGCAGCTCTGCGAAAATTGTGGTCGCTTTCGCAGCAGCTAGCTAAATCGGACCTGGAAACCTTGGCCTCAGCAGGCACCGATGGTGAGCCCAAGCAACGCGTTTTAACGCCGGCATCCATCGAGTTGGAGCAGCTGGCCATTCAGAGCGGCATGCCTCGTCCGATGAGTGATCGAGAGAGACCATCTCTTTTTACGCTCACGAAAGTGAGACAAACCATGGATCCCACTGGGGGCGTCTTTCTCCACATGGAGTGGGAGTCCTATGTTTGTTTGGAGGATGAGTCAAAGCTCTCTCGGGAAGGCAAGCTGCCGAAGTCGCGCCCAGAGGTTGTACTGTCCGATGGGAAGGGCCTCACAGTCCAGCCTCGAGATTCAGAACTTCGCAGACATCATGTGGATGACCTGCTACGCTTGACTGAGGTGATGGATCTGAGGGCTAGAGCCTTCCACATGCTTAAGTACGCCAAGTTCGAGACTTACGAGATGCTAGCTGATCGCTACGTGGGGTTGTTCAGAGCTACTGTCCCTGAGGGTATGCGTTCACCGACAGTGAATGAGATACGCCGTGTGGACCGACTCATACATGAACAGATTTTGCGCTGGGTATCTCAAGGGCAGGGCGAGCATGACGCTGGCGTACACTATTACGCAAGCAGTGACGACCCCCTATGGCAGCTGTTAGCCCCTGTGAAGGAGGACCTACCTGACCAGGGTAAGGAAAAGCCTAGCGAGGCGCGTAGCAAGCATGGAGGCTCTAAGATCCACCGGGATGATGATGAAGCTGGGCCCGGGAATTGGCACGGTCCACCCTCATCGGAGGCAAAGAGGAAGACTCCAAACACTGAGCAGGATGACGGGAAGAAGCGTTTCTGCATGGTGTGCCAAAAGAAACATTGGCCAAGATGCCCCCTACCAGAGGGTTTC